TGTACGATATAGTAGAGTGCTTCCGTTTGAATTGGTTGCAAGTTCATAGCATCATATTTAGCTGATACTTAAAAATTAAATTTTTTAGCATATAATGGGGAAGCACTGCTTCCCTTGCTTTGATTATACCATGTTACTTACGTTTTTTTGCAACTTATTACTGAGTCATTGGTTCTTCGCGAAGTATAGCGTATGTCTCAATACAGGCTCTGCAAAAAAATTATATACCAATTTACTGGCTTAAATCTTTACAAGAATCAAACATACATGTGTAGAATATTGTAATCACGCGTTTTTAACATTTATCAGACCTACAAAGATTTTTCAAACTATCTAAACATATTCAAAGAAATGATGATAAGTCCGTAAATGTTGCTATAGTTCGAAAGGCCTGTACTACGTGGCTCAGCCCGTGGTAAGTTGGGAACTCTCGGAAACTACGTGCAGAATCTACTGTGCAAGAAAGTTAAGGAAATGTTCTTACCAGTAAGCTGAGAATTGTACAAGTCGTGAAGCCATGTAAACTGACTGCCATAATTAGCAGACTGTCTATTTAAACATTCAGAACAAACTGGTTCTTTCCTGGGGCATACGTTCCAGCCAAACTGCAACCATCTTCCACACCCAACCACGACAATCTACGTTGATCGTCAAAACTTAGCCGCTTCGCAAAGGGTATAAAGCTATTGCTTCATGGTTGGCTGATATTTTATTCATTCAGCAAGCTCTTTTCAGATGAAGTGCGCTCGCGCGTTTACTGAACAATAACCAGCAAACACAATGTTATTACTTTTACTTAAAAAGAACAAACCGAAAAGATGCACCTTCTTATGGCATGTTATTAGTAGCAATTAGTTCTACAGTGCTGGGTAAGTTAGATGAAGCTGTTTCGTGAAATACAGAAAATTTTCCACGAGATTCTTCACACAAACACAGCATTTATACTGGTACTGAGAATAGAAATCCAGCGAAAAACAAGACTTCGTTTCACCAAACACATAAACGTGAATGGTTTCGTAGCATCGTTTGTTGTACTAGTTTGATTAACACAGACCTGAAAAATCAGGAAACGTACACAATGAATATACATACAAACTAAACGTATTCAAACAACGAAGCTTTTTAATATATTTACTAAAATAAACAAGGTTCTGCTGCCACGATTTCACATTTAGAAGAAATTAAGATTTGAAAGATTAAAATACAGAAAATTTTGAAACCTTTCAAATCTTAATTTCTTTTCAGTGTGAAATCGTGGCAGCAAGACATTGCTTATTTTAGTAATGAGAAGTATAGCTGTTTCTTGAACGATATGTTTTATACATTGATTAACGGTAGATATTAACACAAGACAAACATTTAGCTTATCATAATCCCTTTGAAATCAGTGGATAATGAATAAAAATCGTTTAAAATTGTATTTAGTGAGAAACGTATATAATTTACGACTTACTGGATATTTTCAAATCATTTTCATTCAGACCTGTAGATATATTTGACTATTAGAGCAGGACGAAAATGAAACCATTGGGACAAACAAAGCGTTACTCAGATAGTATGTGCGACACAAAATCAAGCAGGCAGAGACAGGTGTTTACTACGTGAAATGGAGATTATGTAATGGTAATCAACGTTATCTAAATAAAATGAGCTAAACAATTATATTTTTCAACTGAAATTATTGTTTACCTGGTTTTTGATTTAAGTAGCATAATGATTACTATAGGTTACTCCTTATTCCATGTCGTACTTGTCCCATGTTGTTCAAATGATATAATTATGATGTGTTTATCGTGATCTCGTTGTTGTTAACTAAAAAGTAACGTAATTTGAAATTAGTTGTGTATATAGCAAATAGACACTTTGTATTCTACTAACAAATTTGTGTTATTAATCCACTGGGAATTAAATAATGTTAACACAACATGCTGTGTTTGTTTCTTACATCTATATAAATCATTGTATCTGTATGAGTGATAATGATTGCTAGGACGTTAGTTTAAATCTCATCGCACAAATCTAAAAAAAAAAGGAAAAACATAAAAAATAAAATTAACAAAATAAACGTTCACAACCAAAATTGTTTTTATTCGCAAGCGTACGTTTGGCTGCATTATGATGAAGTATTTTATAACGAAAGAAGCCTGCCTGAAATTTTGTAACTAAACATTCTCTTTCTCTCTATATATATACAATCGTATTTTATGAATTTTTGTTTATGTTTTAAGCAATAAGTAACAGTAATCCTGAATATCGTTTTTTAGACAAAATTGTATTTTCACTTTGTATTTAAATCCCCGTGAGTTACCAGATATTTATTTGTAATAGTTTCCAATAGACTAAACTGTGCATAATGTTTCAACGTTTTTGACGCCACGAGAGCATTTTCATGTTTATTAGACTTTTACAGAGGGTGTTTCACACTCTGGTCTAGCAAACAGCAAATAACCACTTACTTCAGTATTTCTAGTTCGTTTTAGGGTCGTTCCCTAGCTACGATTTTAATAGTTACAATTCACAGTGAAGTTGTTTGTAAACCACTAATTCAGTATCTAGCAATTCATTCTAAAGTTGTTTAAAGTTGTAAACTTACAGTTTAACCAAAGGTCATTTTTAAAGTTGTTTTTAACCTCAAATAAAGGGATTGCATTTCATGCTAGTGTCATTTCTAAAGTTGTGTGAAACTTCCAATAATGGGAGCTACATTTATAGTTAGTGTCGTATTTAAAGTTTTTGTAACCTCCAATAAAGAGGTTGAATTTATTTTTAAAGTCATTTCTAAAGTTGTTTGTAACTTCTAATAAGAAGTTAAACTTTATTCTAGAGTCATTTCTAAAGTTGTTTGTCACCCCAGTAAGAGGGTTGCATTTCATGCTAAAGTCATTTCTAAAATTCTTTGTATCCTCCAAGAATACGAGTAAGAATTACTATAGAGATATTTATAAGGTTGTTTGTAACCTCCAATGAAGGCGAATTCTATTTCATTCTGGAGTCATTTCTAAATATTTTTTGTCACATCCAATGAATGACTTACAGTCTTTCCTAAAGTTGTTTGTAACTTCCAATAAATATCTGGCATTTCATTCTAGTGATGTTTTTAAAGTTGCTTAACCTTCAATAAAAGAGTTGCCTTTCATTCTAGGTTCGTTTCTAAAGTTGTTTGTAACATCCAATAAAAAGATTGTATTTCATGCTGAAAATGTTTTTAATATTACTAGTAATCTCCAATAAAGGGATTAAACTTCAAGCTAAAATCGTTTCTGAAGTTTTTGTTTCCTCCAATAAAGAGATCGCATTTCCTTCTAGATTCATTTGTAAAATTGTTTGTAGCCGCCAATAACGGGATTACATTTCATGATATAGTCGTTTCTAAAGTTGTTTGTAACATTCAATAAAGGAATTACATTTTATGTTAGAGTCGTTTATAAAGTGTCTAACATTTAGCGAAGGGGGTTGCATTTCATAATAAATTCACTTCTAAAGTTGGCTTAAACCTCCGAAAAACGAGTCACAGTTTATTCTAGAGTCATTTCTAAAGTTGTTTGTAACCTCCAATAACGGGATTCTACTTCGTGCTAGAGTTGTTTGTAAAGGTATTTGCATCCTTTAATGAAAAATGTTAATGTTTATTCTATTCAAATAAGTAGGTTGCCTTTTTTAAGTTGTTTGCAACAATCAATAAAGGAGTTGTATTTCATACTAGAGTTGTTTCTAAGCCTGTTTGAAACCTCTAATAAAAGATTGCACTCAAGCTTGAGTCCTTTCTAAACATGTTTGTCATCCTCAATAAAGGAGTTGCATTTCATTATAAAGTCGTTTATAAAGGTGTTTTTAACTTCCAGTAGTGTAATTGTATTTCATTTTAAAATTGATCCTACAATTGTTTGTAACCCCCAATAAAGGAGTTGCATTCATGCAAAATTCTTTTCTATAGTTCTTTGTTTCCTCCTATAAAAGTTGATTCTAAAGTTTTATAGCCTTCAATAAAAGGATTACATTTCATGCTAGATATGCTTTTCAATGTTTTTTTTTTGTAATTCTCAATAAGAGGTTTGCAGTTGTTGCTAGAAATGTTTCGAATGTTAGTAACCTCCAGTAAATAAATTGCACTTCAATCTAAGTCGTTACTAAAAATGTTTGTTTCCGCCAATAAAGATATGTAATTTCCTTCTTGAGTCGTTTCTAAAAATGTTTGTTACTTTTCTTGATGGAGTCGTTTATAAAGTTTTGTAAACTCCAATAAAAGGGTTTCATTTTCTGGTAGAGTAGGTTGTAAAGTTCAATCTACCCTTTAGAGAAGTGGTTACATTTCACACTAAATTTACTTCTAGGATTTCGCATAACGTCCAAAATAACTACTTATAGTTTATATGCTTTCTAAAGTTTTTTGTAACCACCAATAACGAAGTTAAAGTTTATTCTAGTCATTCCTATAGTTGTTTGGAACCTCTAATATCTCCATGTACTATATCCAAACAAGACATTGATGACCATGGTCTTTCACATATTTCTTCTCCTTGAGGCACAAATAATTTTTAATGTCGATACATTCATCCATTTAAATAGACTCTTGACATAAGTCAACTTCTGTATTCCACGGTCTCTCCTTTCTTCAATCTTTCCAATTATGATCAGACTTACATTTTCTTCTTTTCTTATAACGGATCCCAAAAACTCCAACTGTCTTTTTCTAATGGTAGTCAGCAGCTTTCTCCTGCAACTTGCTTTTCACAAAATATTTTCATTTGAGGTGTGACTTGTCCAAAATATCTTTAAGATGCGCCTTAAGAACCATACTCAACTGCTTCAATTCTTTTTTTCCATACTTGGCGGTATCGTCCAACATTCTGATGCATACGTGAAGATTGGTATAACATAACTATCCAAAATTCTTAACTTCATCCCCATAGGAATTTTGCTACTTGTCAGTAACTTATTAATTTTCAGAAATGCGTCTTTTGCCGTCCCTATTCTCTGCTTTATTTCTTGATCACATTTACAATCTGATTATATCCAGCTTCCCAGATAGTTGAATTTATTGATCTGCCTTATCTAAACATCCAGTAAAGGGGTTGTAATTCATGCTAGATTCGTTTCTAAGGTTGTTTGTAAAATCGAATAAAGGGTTGTATTTCTTGCTAGAGTCCTGTCTAAAGTTGTTACTAACCCCCAATAAAGAGGTTGTTTTTCGTGTTACAGTCGTTTTTAAAATTGTTTCTATCCTCAAATAAAAGGGTTATATTTCTTGTTAAAGTCGTTTTTAAAGTTGTTTGTAACCTTCAACAAATGAGTTGCATTTCATGTCAGAGTCCATTCTAAAGTTGTTTGTAACCTTCAACAAATGAGTTGCATTTCATGTCAGAGTCCATTCTAAAGCTGTTTGAAACCTCCACTTAAGGGATTACACTCAAGTTGAGTCTTTCTAAAGATTTTTGTAACCGTCAATAAAGGAGTTGAAATTCATTCTAGAATTGTTTCTAAAGTTTTAACCCCTCCCAATAACAGGATTGCCTTTCATCTTAGAGTCGTTTTTAAAGTTGTTTATAACTTCTGATAAGAAGTTAAAGTTCGCTGTACAGCCATTTCTAAAGTAACTTGTAACCTTCATTAAAG